TCCTTGGATTCGAGTAATAATGTTTCGTGCATAACTCCGCCCACTTTTGTGCAAGCTTAGCCCACCAATAGCATTTAACCCCTTTCCCTCCGGCAACCCTTATCCACTTTTTTCCCGGGCGCTGGGGCTTCTAGGAACCGAGTTATGAGAGTGGTGGCAAACTCCGCCCACTTCGGGGTGTGCCACGCCCAGCGTTCACATTCAACCTCTACTCCTCCTCTCACCCTATCTGAGGCAAACCCCGCCTTTTGGTGCACTTAGCCCACCAATAGCATTTAACCCCTTTCCCTCCGGCAACCCTTATCCACTTTTTTCCCGGGCGCTGGGGCTTCTAGGAACCGAGTTATGAGAGTGGTGGCAAACTCCGCCCACTTCGGGGTGTGCCACGCCCAGCGTTCACATTCAACCTCTACTCCTCCTCTCACTACTATACACACATTTTTTCAGGTCTCTAAGTCGTCTCGGAGCAGAATTATGAGGTCTTGTAGGGGACGAAATCGAGCTACGTATCTTTGTGGCAAACCCCGCCCACTTTGGTGCGTGGGTCGCCCACTGATATCAGTCGGCTATCATCTCTTCCCCAACCTTTTTCTACTTTTCTCCCATCTCTGGAACTTATTGGAACCGAGTTATGAAGTACCGTGGCAAACCCCGCCCACTTTGGTGCATGCTCCGCCCGCCAACAACGGTTGACCCCTTTCCCTCTGCCAACCCTCATACGCTTTTTTCCCGGACTCCGGGACTCCTAGGAACCGAGTTATAAGCCTAATTGCAAACTCCGCCCACTTTGATGTAAGCCACGCCCATCCCTGACATTTAGCTTCCCCTCCCCTCCTGACCTCTATCCGTTGTTTTCCGGTCTCTAAGTCATCTCGGAGCCGATTTATGAGCTCTTGTAGAAAATGCGCTGTCCGCACGACACGCTCCGCCCATTGTGGGCGGGCCTCCGTTCACATCATGCGTGGTGGAAATACCTTAGGCATTGCTCCCCTGCACTAATTTCGTTTCTGGTCTGTAGGCTTCTTCTTAACCGAGTTATGAATATTTTCACTGAGCACCGCTTTTTAGAGAACGCCCCGCCCACCGAGGGTGGGTCTCCTCAATTCAATCTGGCTTACCAACGCACACCTATACCCACTTTTGTCCCCGTCTCGAGGCTGTTTTGTGACTGAATTTGAAATCATGGTCCTCAGTACCACTCATTTCGACGCACGCCACGCCCACTGTGGGCGGGGCTCCGCTTAGGTAATGTATTTTTACTTCTCGAGATATGGTACACCCATCCCAAACATGACCTGGACCCAGTAGGTTGTTGTCCGCTTAATACGGAATTTCGTGACAGACAGACAGACAGACAGACTTAGCGCATTATATATACACTGCGTTGCAAAAATATAAATCCACCTGGAAAGTTCTTGAAAATTCGCATGATAGGGTGTTTCTGAAAAAGCCTTTGAAAGAAAAATGTGCTCAATATAAATATAATTTCGAGTGTAAACACCAACTTCCATTTCGAAAACACGAAAATTTTTTATTTTCATTTTTCAGAAAAGGGCCACTTTGCCGATTGTGCAAAAATATAAATCCACCCCATGTTTCTCGGTTGAACTTCATTGTTATTTGGCGTAACTGTCAGGTTGTTTCCACTTCCTCTTTCTTAGGTGATGACGGAAGTAACACCGCAATCGGACTCCGAAAAAAAGGCAAAATCTGCAAAAGAGTGGGGAGATTTGCCATGCAGACAAATCGCGCGTGATTTGAGCCCCGCTTAACGTGGTTGCTAAGCATTTCTTCAAGAACTCTGCAACATGTGGAATCCAGAAGAGAATTGAACCCATTTCTTCGCGTTTCAGTTGCGATGACCGTAGTGTTATGGGAAAAACAGCCGATTCTCCCAAGGGGTGCTCAGGAACTCAACCTTCAAAAAAACCTTAATTTCTCGAAAGTCACCGATCGGCGTGTGTTAGAGGAACTCTGAGTCACTGTTCAACGGAAAATGAGTAGGACACATTTAAAAATCCCGAATCATCGCAAAAATCAAGCCAAGTTTCCCAAGATCAGTGGTCGATCTGGCCGGAGCGAGGCCAATTGGCCGCGCAGTACCTTTTGATGGCTGTTTTCACTTGTTTTACTGGTTTCCTTTTTCAATATGAGTTCCTGTCTCTGCCAAACACACTGCCAGAAAAAAAACTCAGAGAAATTCAGACAGACAGTAAAAAGTAGCGTGTAGAAAGCCGAACTTAATGCAGCTGGCGCAGCATGCACACATTATGGAAGAGTTGGCTTGATTTTTGGGATGGCTTTGTGTCTTAAAACTGTGCCATACTCATTTTCCGTCGAAGAGTGGTCTCAGAGTTCTTCTAACACACGCCAAACGGTGGCTTTCCTGAAATTAGGCTTTTTTGAAGGCTGAGTTCCCGAGCACCTCTTGGGAGAATCGGCTGCTGTTCCTATAAAACTACGGTCATCGCACCCAAAACACGAAGAAAAGGGTTCAGTGCTCTTCTGGATTCCACATGCTGCAGGATTCTTGACAAAATGCTCAACAACCACATAAGCGGGCTCAAATCACGCGCGGTATGTCTGCATGACAAATCTCCCCACTCTTTTGCAGATTTCGCCTTTTTTCGGAGTCCGATTAGCGGTGTTGCTTCCGTCATCACCTAAGAAAGAGGAAGTGGAAACAACCTGACAGTTACGCCAAATAACAATGAAGTTCAACCGAGAAACATGGGGTGGATTTATATTTTTGCACAATCGGCAAAGTGGCCCTTTTCTGAAAAATGAAAATAAAAAATTTTCGTGTTTTCGAAATGGAAGTTGGTGTTTACACTCGAAATTATATTTATATTGAGCACATTTTTCTTTCAAAGGCTTTTTCAGAAACACCCTATCATGCGAATTTTCAAGAACTTTCCAGGTGGATTTATATTTTTGCAACGCAGTGTATGTAAAGGAATTTAGACGACACATAAGGCAGTCGTAGGAAACAATACAACGATCTTCCCTTGAATATAACCTAGTCATAGCTCAACAAATCTTTACTAGCCAGGCGCTTGAAAAGCACAACAGAGGGAGTAACGAGAGCCACATTAGATTTAAGAGAAGTATATATAGACCCTGCACGACAGGTGAAGCTATAGAGCCTCACGTTAGTTCTTGGCGTTGCATATGAAATTTTCTCAGGCCCTCCTCTGGTTCTGGATAACTTCGTATATAAAAGAACATAAACTTGGTCCTATTTTGCACGACTGTGGCCTTGTTCAGCCCCACAAAGAATATATTTGAAGCGCGGAACAGCAATTGCGCGCTTTTTTGCCTGAAGCTTCAAGAACTTGCAATTCTGCCTATTTTTGTTCTTCTGCAACAGGTGAAGAGGGAGATCGTTAGGGTTCGTGATTCCATCATCACGCAAGTGAGGTCATTGCGCACTGAGATGGAACAGTGGTGTTACGTGGCCCACCAGTGAAGAAATGAAAAGAAACTCAGGGAAACATTAAATTAAGGCCCTCATTCTTGAAGGCATGCTCCCGCTCGCTGTTTCCATCCCGGGGTAGTAGACAGGCGGACAAGCGTTGATGTCGCGCCCCTTTTGCCGCTTGAAAGTGCGCGACAAAGGCGCAAGGAGCTCGTCCGACCCGCAACCCACACCTTCGTCCGCAAGCCCCACCCTCCGCTGTCGGTTGCCACGTGGCGTGGCGTCCAGCGCGCCCATTCTCTGTCCCAAGGTGGAATGCGGCTGAAATAGGGAAGGTCTCTGTGTGGGTAATCGGTGGTTTCGTTTGCTTTCCTTCTCTTTTCCAGACCACCTCCCACCTCTAGCTTCATAACTGAACGCTTTTTCACACTTGTCCCGAATTTTGAATCAAGACAGTCGACGAGCCTACTAGGAGACAGACAATGGGGCAAGGGAACTGACCGCTGAAACTGCAGTCAAACAGGGAGACGAGAGAACATAGGGAACGAGCTTGACGCAGACACCAGTGCTTTTGCGGCGGTGAGGCGTGATACATGGAGTGCGCACTGATAGTTCCAGAAACCTGCAGAAGCTTTTCGCTTGCTCACCTAGCTGCCTTATTTGCAGAAATACCTGTTGGCTCACAGCTACAAAACAGAGTCGCATTGACCATGTGGGCGGCACTATATTGTTCTGCTCGTCACTACTAGTGGTGCCCTTTCGGCAAATAAATGTACTTGCCTTAACACGTAAGAGAATGGGCTAATGACAGTGTTAGCTACAAACATAGTGTTGCCGGAACGGTCTATGTGAACTTTAACGAAAACTACTGCTTTCCTAATTTAAACCATCTGTCATAGGTACTAAATCAACGCTCTCAAGTGCTCGATTAGAAAAAGGTCTAAGCGTTCTCTACAACCTTTCAAGTGCAGTCGATGGCAAAAGAACTACCAGTTTCGGACAGGCTGTAATGGTGTGTAGTAGTTTTTTTATTGAATCATTATTCCGTGAAAATTTCTGGACATCGGATCAAACTTGTAAAATTCTTTTTCCTATTTTTAGGAGCTCGTTCATCAACTTCGTGGCGTCATGTCGGCTACAGTTGCTTTGAATGATGCTGCGAATGATCCAGTAT